AGGCTCAGGTTACGAGAAAATTGATTTTATAAACTCATCTATAATACAACGCGTGTATTCGTGCTAATAATAAGTAGCAAAGGAATGCAATGGTCAGACATGTCTCTGGAACGAAGCCTCGGTTGCAAAAATTTTATTCTACACTTTCGACTTACGTTTGCATGAGGAATTGCCCTACTTTCGCTTGTACCGCAATTTTTGCCGCATCGTGTATACTCGTCATTCGAGAAACAGTGAATATTACAAGATGATTACAAAGTTATTGTAATTATACTAAAAAAATTATTATGAAATATTAAAGAGCCTGCCTGGTATTGAAGTCAGAGTTTAAAGGACTAAATCGTATGCACCAGCTTAATGTAATAATTGAAAAAGTGATATTGAAAATTCCTTTTTCAGTTACTTTGTTACTGTATAAAATCGTGATGTATGCTCACAAAAAAAGTATGTCATTTCTGATGTAAAGAAACAACTGAAAGAAAGTGATAAGAGGAGATGTGAGTTACTAAAGAACTTTTCTAATTCAGTTGAAAAAAATTTTATGAAAAAAGGAACAAGTTACCTGGCTCTTCTCTATCCATCGAACAAATGTCTCTGGCACAGATAACCTCGACTTCGAGGGTTCCTTTGTAAAGGCAGAATCCCAACTTTACCTCACCATTTTGAGGCCCTGAAATCCACGAAAAATTTGTACCATTGACCGAGAATTTAAGAGAGATTTACTCTTTCAACGCTTTATTCAAATATATAACTAACGCAATGAAAGGTTGAACATATTTCTAAAGACAGTAAATCAACGTTGTTAACTGAAATACTGGAAACAATTTCCGAATTTCTTTACCAGCGATGAGCTTGAATCCCTTTGGCGGCACCTGTCCGCGACCTAATCTTGTGGCAATACCATTTTCGTTCCTCGCTGACTGACTAGAAATTAAAAGAATAAACCATTTACATTAGTAAATCATATCGAAAGTTACTAAAATGTGAATCAAACTCTTCATAACATGATTACACTGTTTTTAGTTTGCAATTTCATTCAAACTCATAATCAAGATTGCACGAACGGTGACAGAATTTGGAAGATAATGATTCAACATGTAAAATATGGCATAATTTATAATAAAATTTCGATTTCGAGAAAATGAAATTTGATTTTGCATTGGACACGTGTCCTTTGAAATACAGTTGGTGCTATGTCTGTCTATTGTTGATTATTTCTGCTTGTAGTTAAAATTAAACACGGTAAGGTATTACTTACGTTCTATCGATTTCAGTAACTTTCAATCAATTTTTTATATGAAGGTTTTATGGAAATAATTATGGTTACAAACATTATCATCACAAACATTACATCCACTAACATAAGTGAAAATACTCAGCAATGATCAGAAATAAGAGCTACATGGAATTTAATTATATGTATATACATATATGCAGAGTCTCTCAGGTCGGGCAGGAGGCTATTCTATATGCAAAAATAAATCGAATATACAGAATATAATGTTTTCCTATGATGCTTTATTTCCGAGATAATCGAATTTGAAAATCTGTTCATTACGCATGCAATAAAATTGAATAGGACTTGGCTACCACTGTTCATGACATTGCGTTTCTAATTATGGACACCATGAATACAAATTTCAAAGTGGGTTTTTTCGAAAACGAAGTCTCGTATGGAAAACACTTCTTCTTCTTTATCGACTTATTTATTCTTATAGAATTAATTATTCTTATAGAATTATTTGACATTTCTAACTTATGTCACATAGAATCATTTCACTACAGGTTTGTACCATCAAGACGGTGATATACTGTATGTATACATACTACTCGCACAATTATTAAAGAAACGGACAATATATCAGCATAGGAAATACGATTTCTATGTGATAGTTGCTTCATTATAATTCTACATATGTAATTAAATTTCTTCGCGTGAATGTGATTCATGTAAATTTATAAATGCTGCAATAATGTAAATATTGTAATATTATGTAGGAATACACGGTATAAGAATGGGACAAAATGTCGAATTACTAAAGCCATTTTGTGTACCTTGTATAAGACTTGTAAATACTATTATAGGCACATATGTATGTATGTTCCTTTTGCTACGTTACATCGTTATATATTTTTATATCAACCATAAAATGGCTCAGGAAAAAAACTTCTACTATTTTTAGATGGGGTAGGAATTGCTCACTCGACACTTTTACGATATTCTTTGAAATCATATTGGACTTCTAAAAAATATACGTTTACGGTAATGGTATATTAAATAATATACGCAGTTTTAAATCAATACTTTATTGATGGAATAACGATATCCATTGATTCACTTGATATCAACCGTTACTTGAATAAATAAAGTAATACTGCCATGTCGAGAAAGAAAGAACAAATACAATATCATCCATGAAGTATCCCTTTACCGATTTTCGATATTTTTACAGTATCGATCGTATATTATGGTATTTTCATGTTGTTATCCAAAAACTACAAGAGTGAAAAAAATACGTAAATTTCGATTAAGATAACACAGGAATGAATAATAGATATACTTGTTTATAGTGAAAACAGATAATAAAAGCGTACAGTACCTATTGGATATATTTATCGCGTCACTCGAATATTAAACACGTTACCACTTATACCTCTCTTACTATTAATATTAGGAGAATTATTTAAAACAAATATTTTCAAACAGATTATTCTAAAAATGTGAACGTAACACACTTTTAAGTCAATATAAGTTGGATACGAATCACTTTATCAATCAAATTGCTGTCAAAATTCTGCATACCACGTAAATTTGAGAGTGATAGTATAAATATTTCCAGTATTATATGACTATATTTCATTGTTGTATACAACAACTACAAGGGTGCTGAGAATTTTTTAATTTTGATTAGAGTAACACCAAAATGAATAATACACTCGTATTAAACACGTTCGTTATTACACGTCTCGTATTAACACTTTAAGAATGGAATTGACGTAGGAAGTACGTACATAACACTTTCAGACTCCGTGTACTTAATTATACACATGTATTTTAATTATTTTTTTAAGAGTACTTACATTAAATTTTTTTTTTATATGCTGTAGGTTTTGTAATAGTTGCAATATTTGTGACCATAAATTATAATTGGCGCGGTTGTGTGTTCATTGGTTCTTGGGATATTTAATAATTTAAGTCACCATAGAAAAGCTTGATATATTTGCCAAAAATGTTTTGAAAATTGTGTTTTTTCTATTTATATAATGTAAATTAAGAATGAAATTGATCATATCCATCATTTGTTCTTTTTGTTTTACGCCTTATTAAAATGTCGGTGTGCAAAGAGATTCACCTGACTCTGCTGATGTCACCTAAATTACCTGTAAATTCTTTATTATATGAAAAAATGTTTCAAATTAAAGTTGTACGATATCAAAGAGAGAGATTAAAGGAAAAAAATATTTTGAACTGTACTACAACCAATCTGCGGTACCATGGTTCGACAAATGTAGTCTATCTCGTGAATTCATAGTAACTTTTAATAGATGTAGAGCCGATCACTACAACCTAGCAGCTTCTGTTGCTTATTCTTGCTCAAATAACAATCTGAGGAAACATAAACCCCATCTACTCCTCCAAATAGAATACTTAATCAAGAGTCCAAACACACAAGTTTGTAAGAACATATTCAAATTTTCTGAAGAAATGTAATAAAAATGTATAAAGTCACAGACTCACTCACTATGCATAAATCGTAAGGTACAAAATGTAATATAATATGTCGAAATAATCAATATAATAATTCTTAATTCTTAATGTAAAGTAGATGTAAGCCTCCATTTAAAAAAAATATCAAAGAGAGCCCACAATGTCAAATTAGTTGTTTCTATTCTGCTTTTTTATCAAGATATGAAGGTCACCTTGACTTTTTTTATCGTAATGTGAAAAATTTGATCGTATAATTGGAAAGGGTGTTCCAGTATATAGGGTCAAAAACTAATAATTGCTAGGATATTCTTGGTATACCTACAACCGCTCTCCGAGCTTGACGCCATTTGAATACTTTCCTTGAGTACATCTGGAAAACGAAGTTAATCGTGCGTCACCGACGACACCCGAAGATACGAAAAATTGTATCATTAAAGCATGTAATGCTTTAACTCACGGAACACTTGAACATGTGTCATTTACACTTATTGAACGACTACGTAATATTTTGAGCATTACTTACATTAAAAATCTTTTAAAGAATATCTCGATAATTATTGGTCTTTGAATTAGTGTTGTTAAAATGAGCCTCGAGTCTTGAGCTTTAACAGCTCAAGTCGCGGTTCAAACCCTAAAGGCTCGAACCCTCAAGGTTCGAAGCTTGAGTCGTGAAAGCTCGAGTCTTTAACGCTCGAGCCTTTAAGCTTGAAGGCTCGAGTCGTATAAATTGTATGCAGTGAAGTAATGTACAGACCTTGAGTTTTCGAAGCCTTAAAACTTAACCTAAAAATTTTCAGTTTTTAACTCTAATATTACACGAATCTCAAGCTTTTAAAGATTCAAGGGGGAATAATCCAAAAACGTCCAGAAAAGCGTGGTTTTTATAAGATAGTTCTGCAACACCCAAACCTCATTAAACTATTATTAATAGGGTGATCAAATATATATTTTGGACAATACGTTAAATTTTCTTTTATTACAAAATACCTATGTATACTTGAGCAAGATATACGAGTCATAGGATGTTACG